ACTGCTCCTCAACGTGACGAATGAGAAGGCCGTTAGCAGCTAATACTTTATCCTCATTCTGCTGCCAATTCATAAGATTGAGTAAACCATCCAAACCCAGCAATCTATTAAAGCTATTTGCATGTTTGCTCTGGGGTGCAGAAAAATCACCATTCATCTTGATTTAGCTTTTAAAAATTTGATCATACAGGGCCCCAGGATACTCTTCAGGCAGATCCTTTCCATCATCTATTCCCCAATTGTTTTGAATAAAATCAGCCTTTGTCATCTGGAAGGTCATCAACAATGTAACCCAAAAACCCATGTCAAACGCACATTCAACATTATCAGAAAATAAGATATCCTGAATTCGCTGAGTTATATATTAGAAATAATGATAATAAAACATTGTCATTTACAAATTCACAATGACTTTCTTGAACATATATCAACTAATTTAGCCAAGACATATGAAGTATCTGTTCTACTAAAAGAACTTAGATTGCATTTACAATAACGCTTAGCAAACTTGTCCATGATGCAATCAATAATCTTCTGTGCCTCACCAAGCAGCCTGAAGCCCCAAAGAAAAAACCTTATGGCTTCACGAAAATCCATGCCTTTGAAATTAAAGCAGTCAACATAAGCATGCACAACTTTGAGAGACAATTCGTCTCTTTCCCCCATATAGTCACCAATCTTGGTTTGATCAAGGGAAGCAGTGTTCTTGAGGAAAAAAAGGCACTTCTTTTGGCGAACTACCAATTTTTTTGTTGCCGGTCAAAAAATCAAAACCCTTGGAACGTTTTCTGTTAAAAAGTGATATACCTTTCTGCATTTAACCCAGGAAGATCATCAATGAAGATGCAAAACAAAAGGTTAGAAAGATAAGAGATCCATTTCATAATGGCAAGCGAAAAATATTACAGATATGATGTAGGCGTTTGTAGGTACATAAAACCAAGTAGCAAATATCTATGATGCGTAAGTTACTGGTATATAATCAATACAAGTATATAGTATGGTAATTTTTTCATAATAAACAAACAGCAGTAACTATAACAAAAAAAAAAAAAAAAAGGAAGCAGGAAAAGAGAGGTTAGTAACCACTCATCACTCTAGCGAAACACCAGCCCCACATATTTCTCGTCTAGTTTTACCTAATTTGTTCAAAATTTCATGTCAGAAAAAATTTGATAAATAAGAAATAAAAAATCTTGATTCTTAGCTCACCTTCCTTCAACGCTTAGGAGACCCGACTATAGATGCCACTACATAATCTTTGAGCCATGGATTTGTCTTCTCGATTCTTCTTAAAACTCTTGGCGAATTTTGATCATCCCCATCATTCTCATTACCATCCTGGCCATCACCGTCATTCCCATCAAATGTGATCAATGTATCAGCTACAAGGGTGTTAGGTGTAATATCCTAAAAAAAAATTTTTTTAAAAAAAATAGAGTCAACTTTCCACCAAAAGTTGGTGGAAAGTTGAAATGTTACGGTGGAAAATTTTGGATGTGGAAAATTTGGGAGAGGCGTGTGAAAATTTTGGCATCAGGAAGACTTTGGGGAGGAAAAGTAATTGCACGAAGGAAAAATGGTAAAGGGTGGTTAGAATTTGCAGCATAAAAACTTAGTCTTCTCCTTCACGAGCACTGCTGCTACGCTCTTTCTATTTCTCTCCTCCCCTCTTTCTCTCACGCGTTCTCTCCCATTTTCTGCGTCCCCTCTCCCTTTTATGCTGCAAATTCTAACCACCCTTTACCATTTTTCCTTCGTGCAATTACTTTTCCTCCCCAAAGTCTTCCTTCTCTCCCCAAAGTCTTCCTGATGCCAAAATTCCCACACGCCTCTCCCAAATTTTTCACATCCAAAATTTTCCACCGTAACATTTCAACTTTCCACCAAAAGTTGGTGGAAAGTTGAAATGTTACGGTGGAAAATTTTGGATGTGAAAAATTTGGGAGAGGCGTGTGGGAATTTTGGCATCAGGAAGACTTTGGGGGAGAGAAGGAAGACTTTGGGGAGGAAAGGGTGAGAGAAAGAGGGGAGGAAATGGTAAAGGGTGGTTAGAATTTGCAGCATAAAAGGGAGAGGGGACGCAGAAGTTGGGAGAGAACGCGTGAGAGAAAGAGGAGAGGAGAGAAAGAGAGCGAGAGAGAAATAGAAAGAGCGTAGCAGCAGTGCTCGTGAAGGAGAAGGCTAAGCTTTGAAGATATTTTAGGTACATAAAATTACTTCTTTTTATCAAACTTTCTTTATAAATATTTCCTGTATATTTTAGGCTTCCTATTTACGTTATTACTATAGTGATTGGAGAAAATTTTGAGACTTATATATGATCTAAGTATTGAGTTTTTACAAAAGATGACTATCAAAATTTAGAAGTTAATGAGTTGTTAATTTTAATCGGTTAGATTTGTCTATTTGTTGGTTTTTAGTATTCAAATTAGTTTTTCTAGTTGAAAAATCTGTTATATATGACTTATATTATATTTTTACCGATTAAATTCAAATTAAGTAATTTATTTGGGTTTTGGCATATTATTAAGATTTTAATCGGTTTATTTTTATTTATTGGGTGACTAAAGATTTTAAAATAATTATTGTAGCTAAAAATTTTATTATTTATGGAAATATATATATGATAGTTGTACCATTAAAGTTTTGATTAGATTATTTAGTTATAAATATTTGAAGTATTATTGAATTTTTGATAGTTTGATTTTGAGGTTTAAACTTAAAAAGAGAGTTTTTAGAATTTATAACATAATAATTTTATATTTGGAAATTGTTGAAAATCCTTTTTATTAAGGTAAATAATTTGGAGGTGGTAAATAAATAATTTGGGTTGTTAGAAATTTTAAGTGTTTCTAAAATACTTCATAATTTTTGGGTTATGAGAGTTGAGAGAATTTAGAATAAAAATTTAATTAAATTAGAAATTTAACTAATATAGATAAATTTAATTAATTAATTAATTAATTAATTAGTTATATTAATTGTGTAGATTAATTATTAGTGAGCAAAGGATTGACCTTGTGGTAATTCTTAGTATTACTTTGACGAGAGGTAACCACTTTCCACTTGTTATATGTGCTAATATGTTGTTTGTGAGTATTTTGCTGTATTTAGAATAATATTTAATATTTGGAACTTGAGTAGATATGTTATATCTTTTGAGCTATGAAAATTGTCTTGTGGGATTTTTGGAATGGTGATTGAGAAGTTTAATTAATTTATTAGTTTATATTTGGCCCATCAGGGAAGGCTCCGGAGGCATAGTGTGCTGTTATAACTTGTATAGCCTCCCTGCTTTTGTTCTATGTGCTGACTTGTTATATATTGCCACATAAGGCTCATCTACTATCATGATGTAAAATAATACTTTTAATTACTACTATCTAGTATGACAGGGCCTCGAGGAGACCCGAGACATCTTAGACTCTGCATGTAACGCTCCTTCGAAAGTGTTGACTTTTGACTAATGAGCTCTATAGTTTATATTAAACTGATTTATCAGTTCGTATGTTTGAAAATATAAGTTTGGTTTGGGCTAATGGTTGAATGATATTTCTGGACTTTGGAAGTCCAAGGCCCAAGGTAACGATCGATGTTACTCTTATTATAAGTTTATTTCTTTTAACTATGATAGCAACCAGAGGGCTTTAAACAGATCGTGGACCACTGATGTGCTCAAAGAATATGTTGTGCACCACCTCCCACAAGTGGCACCTCAACAATATTTTGATGAGAAGCAGGATTAGTTGTCAAAGTTTCCTGTGATCCCATTTAAACACGGAGCACCCAGCTTTTGTTTTCAAGTATAACAAGTTGGAATCTAATATGGGTAGGATTAATAGGTACCTTGATTGGTGATGCCTAACACTCTTCCAACTTATAATTTTGAAGTTGTTGTTAAACTTGCCAACTAATTAGAAATGCCTAACATCTCTACAGCTCATCATTTGGAGGTTTTTGTTACGCCTACCAACGAGACTAAAATGCCTAACATCCTTGTAGCTGATACATTAATGACCTTTAATGGCAATGATGGTGTAAAAAAACTAAGCTTCAATTAAAAAAAAAATCACCTTTTTTAAAAAAAGAAAAATAAAAAGGCTACTACCATATTGCTTAGACCAAGAAACTCAGCAGTAGTTAGAGAAATAAATAAATATGAGGGTTGTTATAGCTAACGCCATACGGAAGTAAGGAAATGAAGGGTAAACAACTTTCCAAAAAAAAAAAAAAAGGCTCAAGCTGGAAATTTTACAGATTGGGTTTCCTCAAGTGGTAGGGCTGAGCAATGGGCGGGGTGGGCTAACCCGAAGGTTAGCCCATAGCCCGCCCATTTATTCATAAATGGGCATGGGCTAACCCATAACCCGGTAGTAGCCCATTTAGCCCGTATTAAATGGGCTACGGGGCAGCCCGTTTGGGCTGACCGGGTTACGGGGTAACCCATTTATTTTTTTTAAATTTTTTTTCAATATAGTTATTTTGTATATGTAACCTTATGAAGCTGTCAATAAATTTTACATGCCAAATAGCAAATCAAATATGAAATAACATCAACCATATTCAATCACACAACCTCACTTAGATTCGCAAACAATTAAAGTCTGATAAAATCATAAAAGTAGTCACCAATCATAAAGTCTCATAAACTTTGAAAATTCCAACTTTTACCTAAAGGATAAAATAAAAGCTTAGACAAACATGAATGTTTGATAAAAGATGAATGAGAAACAATATCATCAATTAAATGAAGAATAAAAATATTTTTAAAAACTTAAAACTTAAACGGGCGGGTATGGGCAGCCCAATACCTTGCCCATAGCCCAACCCGTTTAATGGGCTACCCCGCCCATTTAAGCCCGCCCGTTTATAATATCTTATTTGGGCTAATTGGGCGGGCTTAAATGGGCAAAAATTTCATGGGTCATGGGCGGGCTAGCGGGTAATGGGTTTGTTGCTCACCCCTATCAAGTGGTGTCACCAGCCTATAAGGACGGTAAGTTTGGTTTGGACGCCTTGCCCAAAGCCGAAAGCGTAGAAATTGCAGTGGGACGCCAAACTCTCTTGCAACCCCAGCCTGCATTTTACAAATAATAAAAAATTACAGAAAACAATTCAACCACAGAATCATAAGAACTTAGCAATCATCACTCACATAATTTAGCACTAATACAAAAAAAAAAGTTAGCTACTACAATAGACTATCATCAACATTATAAAAGCATTCCGGCTTTAAACTGTTGTATGCATTGAAACTCCCCATTTGATGCAACTATGATATTGTTAATTCCCATAAGATTCAAGATAAATGATGCAGATTTATCTGCCATGAACACAAAGGTAAACAGAGATGTCCAGCATAGCTGCCACATAAACCATCACTTTCTAAAGTGTTTTTTTTTTTTAAAAGTAAAACTTGTTTTAGGAAACATCAAAATCAGTCTAAACATTTCAAAACTCCATTTATAACGGCTTTGAATACTTGTCAATGATTGAATTTATAATGCTCAGATCCAAAAAATTTCTGAGAGAAGAGATTGATACTATTAATTATTATCAACAATCTAAAACCATTTCTGCTTTAAATTGTTCTACACATTAAAACTTACCTATTTGATGCTGCATCAGTATTGGTTAGTTCTTATACGAATCTAAGTGAAAGGTTTATCAGTCATGAACACGAAGATACACATATATGTACTGCAATTTGATCGCTATTTACCTATTTGATGCTGCATCAGTATTGGTTAGTTCTTATACGAATCTAAGTGAAAGGTTTATCAGTCATGAACACGAAGATACACATATATGTACTGCAATTTGATCGCTATGCAGAACACTAAGGTCAACCATTTAAAAACACTTAGGGCTTGGGCCTCAACGAAATTATGATTACGGTGCAAACACTTGCAACTAACAATTTGTACTGCAATTTGATCGCTATGCAGCGTGCTAACATTTTTCACTAGTCAATTTTCTTTAAGGAATGCAGTAGTCTTGGGAAAAAAACATAACCACGCAAGACCAGACTAAGCTGTTAGCAAAAGCATGTTATAGAAGAAACAAAATAAGTTAACACACTGTGCCAAGTTAGACAATTCTTGCAGAAGAGTAAAAGGATGGTAGATTGTTGTACCTTGAACTGGTTAAAAAGCGTCTGCTTTTTCACACGAAAGCGTTTCACTTTGCCATAGTCTACAAGATCAAAATATACATATCTTCCAATCTGTTGTGTAGGATCTTCATGTCATGCCGCCTATAAGAAGCATTACTCAGAACCAGTAATACAATTGATTTAGCAACACCGAGAATTCTGGTAAAGTAAAAGGAGCAGTGTAATCGAGATAAGGAACCGATCACCATTATAATGACGTAAAGGTGAGCCTCTTCTTTCTTTTCATGGTCTTTTGCTCCCTTTTCTTTCCTCAACCTCTGCTGCAATAATCCACTGCACAAAATAAGCTCAAATTTTCCAAAATATAGCAACAAAAACAGTCAAAAAAGATAGAGAAGAACTAAAACTAAAGCTTAGTTTTGAATCCAACGGTTTACAAGACACTTCTCATGAAATACACTGTTTCATTGAGAGTCCAGACAGAAAAGAGGCAGAAAGATCATTGAAAGACATTGACAACAATCAGCAAACTAATGGTACAAGTTGTTCACCTTGTCCTCTTGATCCAAGAAGTACAATTTCTAAAAAGCAATAAAATGGCAACAAAATAACAATATGAATCGGAAATTAATTTGAAGAAAAGTGTGATGCCCCAATGGGCTTTAGGCCCAATGAGTTTGAACCCCAGTCCAACAGGACTTTGACGGTTAGATCGTTTTAAAACAGAAGCGATCTTTTTGGGCCATGAAACAGACATGATCTTTGGATGAGAATATTGAAACAGTCATCCCAATCAAAGATACAAATTGAGAAGGTCAATAGTGGTATAAAAAATAAAAAGTTCAGATTTAATTTTATTCCATTCTTATACATTTTTTTCACTTTTGAAAATATAGACAAGCAATTTGAAGATAATCATTTCTTTGAAAAATTGAAATTATCACAGAAAAGCTGCTAATGAATAATAATAATAATAATAATATTAATAATAATAACAACAACAACAACAAATTTAACAAAATTTAAATAACCAGAGGTTGATATTCCGGAAACTCGTTCCATGCTCATCAAAAATCAGATTATATTTGAAATAATTTTTATAACTAACATTTCTTAAAAAAATAAATTTATTATTAAAAAATTATAGATTACAAATTTTAAATACAGATCTTTCAAATCAAATTTAGACAAGTTGAAACGATGAGCACGGTCGCTGTCACATCGGTTCACCAGAGAACAGCACCTGTATATCAAATCGCCACCTAATAGTTGAAACAAGATGAATATTTACAGGACCACAACTCAGTAGCCTCTTTTCTTCTTATTCTTAATCTTAATATTTATGTTGTGCCCTGTTTGCGCAACACTGAGAAGTAAAACGCAGCAAATAAACAATGAAATTACCTGTTGAGCGTCGGAATCGGAACCGGAGACTCCGATGGCACGAGTGATTCCATCAAGAGAAGACTCCAACCTCTCTAATCGAGCGTTCATATCACGCTGGTTAATGGCCGCGTCAAGATCCTCTGAGCGGCTGTGTTCCGCCATGGGAGGACAATGAAAGCACCAAATTGGAAGGCTTGCCCTACACTGCAGTGAAATGTAAATCAGCACAAACTGAGCAAAAACTACAGCGAGACATACGATCGTGATTGAGAAATTAAGTATTGTGGATTAGGCATACCGGTGGCAGGAAGAGTAACGAAAATAGAAGGATGATAAAGAAAGAAAATTGGGTAGACCAACGGTTTCCCTGATGGATGATCAGATCAAAGGCCGATCACTTTTCATTGGTAGATTACCCCAATTTCCTCGGGAAGGTCCATCACTTCCCACAGTAATTATTGCCTCTAATTAACTACACTGTACACTTTTGACCACCCAAAAAATACACTGTACACAACCCCTCTAATTAATTATTTTTATGTAGAGTCGTTTTGAAAAGAACTAATTAATAATTAATTTGAGCCGAATTCATTAATTAATTTTATTATATAAAATTATAACGGGTACATCTTCGAAAGTTCATTGTCATTTGTCAAACACGAAGCCTCTATGGAGACCATGCTTCAAGAAGTCGAATTCCATTTCTTAGTCATGAGGGCACCAAGATTCTTATTTTTCTTCTGCAATCTGCAATTTGCGCGCACACAGAAATGGGAGAGACCACAGTTTTCTAATTTGATAGACTAATACTAATAATCTTTCCAGTTATCCTAGATCTGGTATTCAAAACTGGGAGTCCTAATGTGGCCCGTTCATGAGTTAAGAATGAGTGGTCTTACCTGAATTAAAGCCTTGGATATCAAACTATGTTAGCTTGGTCCGGTTCAGCTAACAGCTTTTATTAAAGTAGTGACATTATTAGGATAGCCAATCATCATGACAATTGTGTCATTATTAGGCTAGAAAGTCATTATGACCCCTACTCGTCATAATGATAGTTACTATTAGGATTTTGTCATGTGATGACTCCGAGCCTCTATATAAATCCCACTCTGCCATCAGTTAAGAGAAACAAAAAACTTAAATATTAACACAATCCAATCCATTACTTTTAAGAAGTTATTTTCCTCATATTATCTCATTCATCTCACACAGTAACAGCAGAAAGCTTCATAAAATCATATAGATTTTGAAGGTGTTTCGGTGGTGACCCAAACCATGATTTGAGAAAAAATCACCCAAACACCATTTAAAAAAAAAAAAAACCAAAACCATAGTTTTCGCGCAGAAACTATGGTTTTGGCAGAAGCAAAAAAATTTTATTTTTGGAAAAAAACAGGGAAGAGTATGAGAGCCTATAAGATATGTGTCTTTTTTTTTTTTTTTGCCCAGATGGATATACCTTTCCCAATTATTCATTTCTTTCTCATTGTTTCAGACGCAGTATGAGGGAGAGCCTGAGAGTAGATCTCAACAATAATATGACTTTAACATCCCTCAATTATTTTTTTATAAACATATTTAATTTTATATCTTATAAATATATATACACATATTAATTATTTATTAAGTATATTATCTTATGTATTATTAGTTATGTTGATAAAATATATATTATTAACAATTTTATTCCTTCAAATTAAAATATATCATAAAATCTGTTTTTTATGTAATTATAATATTAATTTGCCTTTTTTAGTAATTTGTATATATAAAAAGTGTTTCTGATAACAACTATCTAAACACTCTCACTTCTCAAAATCACTTTTTCACAAAATCTATTCTTCACAAAATCTATTCTCCCCGGAATCTATTCTTTAGAAGCTATTCTCCAAATCAAGCTATTCATGTTTCAAAAGCACTTTAATGTTTCTTTTAAACTCAGTTCAAGTAATGTGCCCTAGTTGAGAGCAGAATGGATGACCGTGTAATATATCATTAACAATATATTATATCTGATCTTTAATATAAAAATTTATTTGACTTTTATTTTGATCCTAAATATAAGACTTCAATCTACTTTATCTCTTATATTTATTTATTTTTTCTCAAAGTAGTCTTTATAATAATAGTAGTCCTAACTAATACACTTGATTAATAATGATTTTTTTTTTTGAAAAAAGAACATATATTTATTACAAATAACTAATTTAACTAATTCTTTTAAAATATTCAAATTAGTCAACTAGTATTTATATTAAAAACTAGAAATAGTACCTATTACACTAAGGTGAGGGTTCTAAGAGCGCTAGAGTAATTTAGGAATATACGTAGGGATTTCAATGTAAGGCTTTCTGGCGTGGGGTTTTGTTAACCCTTCTCATCATAACCATAGGATGCTTGTTCCCTATAAAAAAAGTAACAACTAACAAGACGATAAAATCAAAGAGAAACTGATTTTCATATGGCATAGTTATGCCAAGAACCTTGTTGCCACAAGAACAACAAAGAAATAAAAGGCCATGGTGGCCTAATAATGATTTTCATGAGAAACCAATCCCGACATTGAAGCCAAAGTAATTGAATCAATTTAAATTTAAGAAATCATTTAATGTTTTAATTTAAAGGTGATATTTTTTTAACATAACAAAATAAACCATTAAAGTCTTATAATCATGGCAATTAAAAATATAACATAGCATATGCTCGAAGAGCACAGAAGCTTTCACGGCTCACTCCATGAGTGCCTTCTCTTGATTCCTACTAGATCCTTCACTTGAAAAATGTTAAAATAAGGGATGAGATCAAACGTTTTAGTAACTACTGAAATTCTAATCTATACAAGCAAACCATATATGATAAATAAAAAAAATCTGTTTATGTGTGTGTGTGAAAATCACGGATTTGATACATTCAACTTAATTTTATTTTTGATTCAACAATATACAAATATCATTTTTCTAATATATCCAAAAATAATATAGTATGCTACCTCGCTTATATCACTGTCCACTCTTATATTGTTGATTGGAGTCATAGGCTAACACATAGTCCGATAGGAACTAATTCATTTTACTGAATTATTCCAAGCTCACCAATACTAGAGATATATCTGGCCAAAGATATAGAATTTAAGCTCAGACTATAGCTCTCCTCCTTTGGAAAGAAACATAAGGAGGCATCACATCTCTCATAGTTCCAATAAATTCCCGGCAAAAAAAAAAAACATGGCAAAATGGGCTTTGACAAGTGCCATCCACTATGCACCGAATGATGACATACCACGTGGTAATTCATATCCATACAAATCTCATTCTATTCTTAACCCAACAATATATATGTTAGATGCAAATAATATTACATCATAAATACATCCTCAAGTACATTATTAAAAATAAGATAATAATAAAATTTCTATACTATTTAACAACAACTCATGCCAATTCCATAGATATCAATATATTTAAATATTGATCGTAATTAATAGTAATAAATCTTAACAAAATCAAGTAACATATCAAAACATTTATTTGAAAAATCATAATATTATATTTCAGTAATATAAAAATTAGTAAATCTATAATAATCATACACAATTTACATATACAAGAAAGAATTTTCAGAGTTACTTAGTACTTTTTACTTATAAATTTTCACACAAAAATTATTTCAAAATTCTCAAGAGTCTACAAAATTATGCATACATATTTATTAATATAAAACTTAAAACTAATCTTAAAACTACTCTAAAATTCTAAGACTACCCTCTAAACAAAATATTAACTCTCACAAATCTAGCTATTTATAATAGATACAATATTATTTTGACAATAAAATTTTTATATAAAACTATTTAAATCTAATAACTTAAATAAATATATATTTATTACCCAAAATCTAAATATTTCATATTAAAATCTTAATTATTTATTATAGTTTCATTTAAAATTTTTTTCCCTCAACTAAACAACTCCTTTGAATTATAAATAAATTTTTCTTTCTATAAAATTCGCAATTTACAATTTTTTAAGCTTTCAAAAATTATTTCAAAAATAGATATTTAACTTATTCAATATTTAAACTGATTAAAATCTCAATAATATACTAAATAGCTCAAATAAATTATTTAACTTAAATTTAATCGGTAAAAATATTCTATATGTCATTGAATAACAAATTTTTTAACTAAAATCTTAATTTAAAATTCTCAAAATAGTCACTGAGCAAATATAAACTGATTAAAATTTTTTAATAATGTATCTTTAAATTTTTATAGTCATATATTGTCAAAACTCTATATTTACTCCATACCTAAACAATAAAATTTTCTCTAAATATTATAGCGAACTAAAAATATAAAGCTCTAGATATATAGGAAATACTTATAAAGAAGATTTGACAAAAAGAAGTAAGTTTATATACCTAAATAATTCCCAAATCTTGCCTTGTCCTTCCTACTTGCCCACTCTTTTGATTTCTCTCCGCCTTTCTCTCACTCTTTCTTCCTCTTCCGTCTCCCATCTTTCTCCTTTATTCTATCACTCCCAATTTCTAACTACCTCATCCTCCATTTTTTTCTTGTGTCAATTAATGCTTGCCCTTATTTTTCTTTGTTCTTTATGAATTGCCCAGCCTTTCCACCGAAGCCTTTCCCCCGAATTCGGCAGAAAGCTGGGTATTTTTTTTAATAATATTATATTATTTTAATTAATTGATATACTTTTTTTAAAAAAAAAACAGTATTTACAAGAAGGACAAAAATTAAAAATACATGTAAGAAAGAAAACTGGGTAAAATGAAAAATCAGGTGGCAAAAAAAAACAGAGAGAAGGGATCCAATCAAATCTTCCACGCCGCTCAGGAAAAAAAAAAACCAAAAACAAAAATCAAATCTTCCACCGTCTCAATTTTAAACCAGCTCTTAAAAACTTCCATTTCTTGAAGCTTCAAAAGGCTTCGACTCCTTCTCAGCCCATATTTGCTCGTGGCCCATACCCTGTATCATTTACATTTTGCTCAGCTTGCAGAACAATCGGTGTCTCGTCTCAACTTCAAATGGCAACTTTTTTACCAATAGAGGTTGGATTTAGCTAAAAGGATTTAAAAAAATGTCTACGCCTAACCCAAAAAAAAAAAAAGAAAAAAAAAGACAGTTCCTCCATAACTTTCCATAATGGTTGATGGATGAATTCTAAGGTCGAAGTCTCTCTCTCTCTCTCTCTCACACACACACACACAAAAAAGAAGCCTTCCATTGTAGCATGGCACTGATGCTTGTGCATAAATTGCTGGCGGCTAAAACTAGTCACGGGCGGTTTGAAATTTCTCAAATAGAGTCGCAACTGTGTGCGCCTTGCATTCCAAACTTCCATCATTTTCTATTACCAATAATTTCCTGCAAGTTTTCTTGGTATAAAACTTTGGCGTATTTCAATCTTCTGCATAAGTATTCAAAAGCAACTAGCGAAAATAGTTTCGCTATTAATCTCCTTGCATCGGCTCATAAAAATAAATGGTTCAAATGCTCCGATTCGACCATGAAGTTTTAGTCGGGCATAAATTCTTTGGTTAAGATAAAACTTGCATGTGCATGAGCCATTCCCTAGGTCTCAAGTAGAAGTTCCAAGTGCTCATGAAGCAATATTGAGACCAAGGAAAGAGTCTGGGATTGAATGAAATATGTGAAGAAAGACCTCAGACATTTTTTTTTTAAAATTACCATTATTTATCAAACTGCATAGGCACTTCACGAGCTACACTTCAGAGCATTCAAATTACAGCCAGAAAAAATAGAAAGTGTAAACCAATCACTGGATCTAGTGATGGAGAATGCCAAATTAAAAGTTCAACCGAGGCTGAAAAGTCTCTTTTACAACACTACAGAAACCTACCTCTGCTACATCATTCATTATGCAGTCCTCACTTGAAAGCTTAGAACTTAAGCAGAGCACTAACTGGGGAAAAGATAAAGAAGCAAAGCAAGAAAAAAGGCAATGAGTCAACCAACTATACCCTGTATACACTCACTAATCCAAAAATCTTATGTACTGATACAGTGCACTGAGGATGATGAATGACCTCAACTGGGAAGAACCTCCATATAAAAACGGAAGTAAAGAGCTCAAGAGGCTGCGGTCGGCAGATACAGAGTGCTAGGAGCAATGTCACTCCATGGACAGAAAGAATTACATGACCACAAAATTTAGAATAAAATCCTGCAGACACGACCACTGATGCTGATTGATCTCACTTGTTGCCTATACAGAGTACTCTCCTGATATGACCGCGGTCTTTACAAGCCCATTCCTTAATTTAGAAGGCCAAATTCATCCCACGTAGCAAAAGAACTCATCAATATTGGTTTCCTAATTATAAATCTTTACTGGCTTCTCAAACGTGTGGCGATTCTGGAAAAACAAAACCCATATATAAATTCATACAGAGTAACCAAACCGGGCATCGGCCCAAAATTAAGTAACGGTTGCACCACCAATTATGACTCAGACTGGTACCGGACAACTAATGACAAGTCCATAAGGAAATCCAACCTTTCAAGCAATGCTCACTAACCTGATTAACAGTATGTGGTCTTTTAGGAGCGTTATCAGCATGCTCTAAGCCAAGATACTGCTCCCAAGCACCATAAACATCCCTCCTCTATCATAAGAAAGAATTTTTTAATTAAAAAATGTAAATATAAATTCAAGCTAACAAATTAAACTACTGATATGATTCAATCTGAGCAAGTACAAAACTTATTTGAAGTTCAATGGACGTACCTGAAATCGACTGGATACAATGTCTGAGTCCTGAAGGTACTCAGGCCGCCCAAGTGAAAGAAATGCAAACTTCCACTGGCCCCATCGAATATAAAAATAAAAATAAAAGGTTTAGTAACCTCAAATATAATATTCAATTTTTTGTCAGTAAAACACACATCATTGTGACCAATTTTTATTCAGAAGCCTGGTAGAAGAAACGTACCTTGGCAAACTCCTCATCTGGAACTTGAAGTTTCTGTTGTATTCGCACTTTAATATCAGCTAAAGTCTCCGCTTCATGTATGACCAAAAAGAAGGGATCCCCAAAATTCTGAATTTTCTGTGCATTTCAGATGGAACCCAAAGGTACAAGAGTTTCAGCATATTATCAATATCAGCACCAAATACCAAAGACATCAAAGTGGAGATTGCAAAAAATGAACGAGATAGAATTCACCATTTGGTTTTGAGCTTTGTCCTTGGTAAAATGGTACACATGAATCAGACGATCATGAGGCCCAAGATTTTTCTCTTCTTCCGGAATCTGCAATTTGAACAGCCAGAAATGGAGACATTCATTGAAGAGAAACAGAAATTAAACATTAACACAGTCTATTAGTTTTAAGAAAGAGTAAAATACTCTGACCTCCCTTCTGTTTTGCCTTAATTACACGGATCTCTTTTCTATTTTGATAACATACATTTTAGTCCAAACTATTAACACTGTTAAGGAATATTTTGAAAAGATTCTTGGCATACATTTTTTAATTAAAAATTATTAGAATAAACCTTGTTTCCTTCTTTACCCCTCATTATTTTAAATATATAGTTTATCTTTTAATATTAATATTTATTAATAATCTATTTAATATTTTTACTAAATTTAATAAATTAAAACATAAATTTATAATTTTATTGAAAATACATATATACAATTACAAAACATTTTTTACTAATATATATTTAAAAAATTACATCACAAGGAAGTTTAAATAAATAACAAATTTATTGTAAAATAAAAATTTGTATTTATAAAATTAATAAAATTTATACTATGGTAATCAATTCAATAGTATAGCAAAACATATTAAAATATTTATTAAAATTATTTTTTAATTTCAAATAAAGATGTATGATGTGTTATTAAATGATAATTATTAAGTAATATTTGTATTAAGAAGGGACAATTTGGTCAAAATAATGGGTCAATCCTATGATTTAACGGCCAACTATCGGATGGGTGGATGGAAATTGAATCTCAAAACTAGAAAGGAGGTTTGTGCAATATATATTTTGATTTTAAGGGAGGTCCATATAAGTTTTCAAAATAAAAGAGATGTCTTTGTAATTTACGTTAAATAGAAGCGAGGTTGATGTATTTTACTCTTTAAGAAATCATTCTGCTCAGGTTATCATTTATACGTTAACAGTTCTTTTGGCCAAAATTTATACATTACATTAACAGTTGAGCAATTCATAATATTCACTATTCAACGACACACAGTGAGAGTCCTACCTCCTCCGCACGTAACGTCCAGTATTGATCATTAATGTTCTCAATCTTTTCCGAGGGGGGGAAGACCTGCACACACAGGCAAGGATAGGATCAACATATATAATAAAAAATAATATCCTTTAAAAGCATCTGCATCTGCACACTGGACTGGAAGATCTCAAGTAAACCCTACATTAAGTTTTCTTTTCCAACTTTCCCAACAAACTAGTCAGCAGTCATACTTATACCTTGTATATTTTGTGATAGAAGACTTCAAGCAGCCTAAGCTCAGCATTGGGATGAGACAACTCCACCTGTCCAATATAATAAAAAGTTAAGCACAAATATTTTTTCAAGTGTGAGTAAAAACCGGAAAAGGAGAATGTCAGCAATCATATTTAGAAAAAACAATGCTGAAAAACTCTAATCAACTGCATAAATCTAGCATACATAGCATTCAAGTTTAAAAGACCCCGTAAGTTTCCATGTCAGACTTAGATCATGTGTACTAGCTGGAGGGCAAAAGAGACCGCGTTCTGTGCAACTGATTATCAAGTGATAACACACTTACTATTTGAAGGCTCGGGTTCTAACAGGGCCCTAATGGTAACTTATGTAATATGAATAGGGATGTACTTAAACGCTTTAGAGCATGGGGCTAGCCCATATCAGCACAGCTTAGATTGGAAAACCTAGATGCCAAAACAACCTTGATGAGTGATATACTAAAGAGGTCTTCAAAAGTTGAGAAAGTCGTTCATTTTATTTCATTCCTCCATCCCGCTCTGCATCAAGGTTGAATCAGAGTCCAACAATGAGCTTTGCACCACATCATCCAGCCTAAGAACTAAATATTGTTGCTTAGATGTGAACGATGCTAGAGAAGATACTTGTTCAGTTAATGAAAGATGAAATGAAGATTTAAAAAATATATATAATTAGTCAAAAATTTTAAATTGTCAAGAAAAACATTTTTTGTCAAGAAACTAATGCCATCATTGAATATGAAATAATTGAATCAATTGATGGGTATATGAGGAAGGCAATCTTTCCTGGATTATCTCATCAAGGCTTCTGCTAATAGAGCCTGGCCAGGTTGAAGTTGATGCAAAGGATGACAATACTAGCATTGTTAATCTTGAAGTTGAAGCATTTAAAGAAAAATATTACTCCCTCTGTCCCTATTTAAAGACAACAAATATGTAAAAATTGTAATTTTTTTCCTTCAAAAATGCCCGTATTTTTTGGGGGGTTACAAGGAAGAGAATAAGAAAATTATTAAAATAAAGAAAATGATGCTTTTGGAAATGAGATAAGAGATATATTGAGTATTAAATAAGTAATTAATTTTTTGGGGGGAGGCGAGACAAAATAGGACTATGAAAATTCAAGATATCTTGCAAATGTTCCTAAAAATTAGGGACAAGATAGAAATGGTAGTTGTTTCTCATAAAAAGGGATGGAGGAGTAAGTTTTTGGCATAACGTTTTGGACTGTCCCCCCCCCCCCAAATTAAAGTTGTTAATCCCAGTGAGTTTCTGAACCTAATATCATTGTTTCTACCATACCTAAAACCTTCCATTGCCACTGCACGGTAAAGATGCCTTTTCATTTTTTGGGCCCATGCATCCACTCTAAAAAAAAAATTGAAAAGCCTAGTAAGAGTAGCAAACCTAGTATCATTAAGATGCATGTTTGCCTGTTCGGTATAAAGAGGCTCTTGTCCTCTTGTCCATAATTATTGTGAACTTGATCCTTGATGCATTGAATTGATCGTTTGAAATTTTAACAATTTAGATCCTTTTCTTTCACACCTCCTTCCTGTTCCCCATCATTAACCCTTTTAATTGGACATCCAAAGTGGGTCTTCAATAAACAAGGTATGAACCAGTCACCTTCGTTTTAAGATGATCAAGGACATCCCCCACTGTGCTCTGCTTTGGGAGTCTGATAGTATGAATAACAACCTGACCATAAAAAATTAATGAATAATAACAATATGACAAGAGGCATAAACAAGATCAAAACAAAACGAGTATTAAGATTCCATACTCACCTCATCCTTAGTGGCATGATTAAATGCAACTCTCAGAGTTTTCAAACCTTGCAATTCTGGCAGTGGAATGTCAAGTACTTCATAGTACAATATATCTGAAGTCTGAAAATAAATTTTCCATTGAAAAAAGGAATATATTTTTGTATATCAATAATTCATTCCCGAGGACTGAGCAATAACTACCTGGTTGTAATGAACAAGCATGTCAGACAGATGGTCCACCCCACGGTACTTAAGAGGCTGTGGCTTAGGTTGTTGAGAGTAACAGTTATGTGGGGTGAGCCTGATTTTGGATGGATCATCCAAACCAAGTTGTTGCGCTACTCTCTCCACCACATCATCGTATGTATAAAGCCTTGACCTAGAAACCAGTATACAATATGTTGTTATATAAGGATGCAAATGCAAAACCGATATATATAAAGATGTCAGTAGTCAAATAAATCAGGCCAACCCAAAAAAAAAGTAGTCAAACATAATCATTTATATTCAGCAAATTACAAAGTGCTTACATCTCTAGGCAGAAATCGTCTTCCTTAGGTTTATCCAGAGATCTAAAGTGAACAGCCTAAAATTCATCAAGCACAAACAAGCAATATCAGTAGCTGACAAACCATCCTTATATTTAGAGATTCACAATTAATCCCCTCCAAATTAAAAAAAAGGGGTAAGAAACAAAGAAAGAAGAAGTATAGATAATTTTTATTTTCCATAAAAAATGCAAAAAAACTTGCAAGGTTTATCTCCAGCATCATCCACCCACCCCCAAACTCACAAAACATGGAAGGAAAGTGAAAAACGTACACAGAGAATACCTATAGACATATGGGCATGTTTCCCCACACACACACAGCGTAGGTTTTATGCACGCCTAATTTATAGCCACACAAATTGCATAAAATCAACGCCACAAAACATACCTGACGATTGTGGACATATTCTAAATATGAAGGCACATCTGGATAGCGGACACGTTCGTCACTATCCATAGCGGCTGCTTTTTGAAAGCAAACAATATCTCCATCTCCTAGCTGTAACATGAAATTCAAGTCAAACAGAGAACAAGAAAGTAACTTGGAGAATCCAGGGTAAGGAAACTTATTTACCTGGCTTGCTCGAAATGTGAGTTTTTTGTCAATAGGTTCACACATGACATTTGGTTCAAACTTAATTTCCTACACAAAACAGGCATAGGAAACGTCAGTTCCCCAATGCAACAAAAAAAAAAAAAAAACCGTTGAAAAACAACTCACATTTCATCAAAACTAAAGATCTTCCATCCCAAATGGGACTGCACGAACAACATGGCACAACTTATTTGTTATGAACCAAGAGCAAGTTTAATTAAGAGGGGATACATGTCACTAATGACGTGATTATGGATTAAAACCATAGGTCATGTCATAATGACATAATAAAAATACTAATAAAAATGACCTTATTTCCAATGTTAGACTTTTTCCTGCTGTATGTTCATAAAGGCACCTCACGGTTAAGTACTCACTACATTGGAAAGTGTATATTGCAGACCTCATGCAAAAAAGTTGAAGATTGAATCCAAGATATTACCCAGATTAAACCATTCCCAAAACTCATGGAAATGAAGTGACAAAAGAAACAATAAAAATAATTCAGGTTACAAGCCTCTACAGAAAGAATGACAGACATCAAGATTCAATCCTCCATGGACTACCAAGATAGCGTCACTCAAAACTTGCCTGACCCTTGATGAGAAATATCAATTTCTATTGCTTCAGTTACATAGAATTAACCTAATAAAAATTCCCAAACTCCCACCCTAGATCAAGACCTTCACTTTTTTTTCTTTTGGATTGATTTGGTTTCAAATGGATGGAATTGATTTTGAATAGAACTATGCTTCCAAGATACAAGGATGCAAACCAAGTTTGTAAAACTAGCATGAAGCTGCAACTGAGAAAAATGACCGAAACAACGCAAACCAACCTCAAAAAGTGCAATCTCTTCCTCAGGATGATAACCAGCCATTTCATTTAATTTTGTTAATATCTCTGATGGCTTACCAAAACTCTTCACAAAAAGCCTTCCAACATATCTGCCACCATAGAAATATAGATCTAACCTCAGCAGGACACGGGGACTTACACACCCCAATAAAGGCAAATCAACAAAATTATACAATACCGCAGTTCCTCTTTCTCAGGATCATATAGCTTGAAGAAAAGTAATATATCATCTTTTGTCTTCTCTGGCAGTGCAATGGGACGTAAATCCTAAATAATAATGCAAAATGTCAACAACGACATGTTTATGCAATCAACTAGAAAGCAGCTTCCATAAATATAAATATTAAGCGTTACCAGCCCCAGCTCCACTTCCAAAAACAACTTTAGCTCTGCATTGTGAACTTTGTTTGAAACTTCTCTCAATTGCCCAACCTGCAACATGATGATGGTTGAGATCAAATAAAAGCCAACTTCTGATACACGAAAATCACCACTAGGTGAACTGATGATAAGCCCACCCTCATATGAAAGCTAAGATATGCTTCCAGCTAACAATATCATGTGAATAACAGCTTTTAGAAATAAGACAACATGCAGCAATAGAACAGAAAATATTAGGCTTCCGTAAAAGATCAATTTTTACAAAAGCAAAATGTTGCTCAAACCAAGAAGGTCAGCAGCAGTTAAACAGATATGAAGCTTGCTATAGCCGAGACCAAAATAAAGGGAAAAAAAAAATGAACGGCAAATAACAAGAAGAAGATTGGTTAGAAAACTACTAAAAATGTGGTTTCCTCAAGGCGCGTCAATGGCCAGTCAGGGCGGTAGGAATGGTTTCGACGCCTTGCCCAAAACCAAAAGCGCATAAATTGCACTGGTATGCCAAACTCTTTTGCAACCTCCTCCTGCAGTTTGCAAATCAACAAAGAAATATAACCACCGAAAATAATTCAACCAAGCGTAATAAGAAATTGACAATCATCACTCACATCATAAGTTTAAAACTAAAATACTCATCCAAAAAAATTCTGACAGCATAGATTGATACCAACCATTTCTGCTTTAAATTGTTCTACAAACTCACCAACTTGATGCTGCATCAATATTGGTTACTTCCTATATGAATGTACGTGAATTTTGCAGGTTTATCAGTCATGAACACAAAATACACATAGATGTCCTGCACATTAGACACCAGGTCCACCACTTTTTTTCAGGGTGGTTAAAAAAATAGCTTCAGGCAACATCAAAATCGGTTTGAATGTTTCTAACCTCTATTTAAACAGCTTTTTAATATTTGTCATTGTTGGCGGTGAAGAAAATTGGCCCATAAGGACCAGTATTTAACAGCAGAATTTTTATTTATTCCCTGCTCATGTTCCTGATTGTTGCTGCTGCTGCTGCTGCTTATGTTATCTTAATTATATGGGATTTTATTGTTCAGATTAATGGTCTTGGGCTTGGGCCCCAAATAAATTATTAGGCGTAAACACTTACAATTAACAATTTGTACTGCAATTTGATAGCTATGCAAAATACTAACATTTTTCTTAATTTAACTTTCTTCAAGGAATGCAACAGACTTGGATTAACATATAACCACGCAAGACCAGACCAAGCTGTTAGCAGAGCATACTACAGAAGAAAGAAAACAAGTTAATACACTGTGCCAAGATAGACAATAGACAGTCCTCGCAGAAGAGTAAAAGGATGGTAGACCACTAGATTGTCGTACCTTGAAATGGCTAAAAAGCATCTGCTTTTTGACACGAAAACATTTCACTCTGTCATGGTCTACAAGATCAAAATATATATCTCTTCCAATCTGTTTTGCAAGATCTTCATCTCGTGCCACCTAAGAAGCAGCACAGGAAAATTCTGGTGAAGTTAAAGAAGCAGTTGATTATACAAAAATCAAGATAGGGAATTGATGACCTTTATAATGGTGTAAAGGTGAGCCTCTTCTTTCTTTTCATGCTCTTTTGCTTCCTTTTCTTTTATCAACCTCTCCGGCAATAATCCACTGCATAATTCCGTAGAATAGCCCCCAAAAAAAAAAAGTCAAAACTGGAAAGTATAGGGGAACTAAAATTACGTTTAATTTTGAGTCCAACATTTGACAAGGTACTTCTCATAAAATACATTTTTTATTTGACAAGAATCAGCAAAAGGTATAAGTTGTTTTGAGCACAACAAGCAGCCTTACTTCAACTAGGTGGGATTGGCTACAAAAAATAATGTCCTTTGTTAATAACTAAATTTTTAGATAGATTGTTAACCAAAAAGTCTGGTTTAATGTTTCCTTGAATCTTCCTCCCTCTATGTTTTAGAGGACTCCATAATAATCATGCAAGAGGTACAATTTCTAATAAAAAGCAACAAAACCACCAGAGTAACAATAACAATCGGAATTAAATTGGAGTTTATGAGAAAAGCGTAAGTGATCCAATGGGCTTTAGGCCCAATGAATTCGAACTCCAACAGGGCTCTGACATGAAGATCATTTATAAACAAAACGATCTTTTTGGGTCATGAAACAGACTAATCTTTGGATGACTAAAATGACACGAGGATCTCATATCCCCGAAGAAAAATAAAATGGCACAGTGATCTCAATCAAAAATTAAAATTAAGAAGTTCAGTGCTGGCAAAAAAAAAAAAAAAAAAGAGGTTCAGATTTTATTTTATTTTATTCTTATACTCTTGCTTTTTTTTACTTTCAAAAATATAGAAATGTAAATTGAAGATAATCACTTCTTTGAAAAATAAAATTATCACTTGAAAGCTAATAGTAAAAAATTTTAAATCTAAAACGTCCAAACTAAATTTAGATAACCAGAGGTCGAAGACCAACATACCCCGTGCTTGTATCCTCTACTTTTTTTCGAGTAACAAATAACATAATTTCAAAAATAAATAAATAAATAACCGTACATCAAATCAAATGGCCACCAATCTCTACTCAAATTAAAATAAGGTGAGCCTTTTCAGGACCAAAACAGTATCCTCTGCTAGATTGCGCAAAACTGAGAATCTTAATACAGAGCAAATAAAATGCCGCAAATAAACAATGAAATAATGAATAATGCCCAAAAAAAAAACTATTTAACCGCATAAATAAAAGCATGACAGCACTGCACAGAAACATAAACGCCAAAAAGGAACGATGAAGCACGATCAAGAAGAAGAGAATGTTGAGAGATAGACGAAGAAGAAGAGAGTTGGTATTTCTCATCGAAGAACCTGTTGATGTTGGCTGGCATATGAGCGTCGGTAACCGAACTGGAGACTCCGATGGCCTGGGCGTGGAGCAAACGATCCATGGAGCAAACGATCCACACTCCTAGTCAAGGAGTCCATCGCACGCGTGATCCCATCTAGAGAAGACTCCAACCTTTCTAATCGAGCGTTAATCACACGCTGCTCTATCAAATAAACAACACCTCCAACGTCCGGCCCAAGATCCTCTGATCGGGTGTGTTAAAAAGCCAATGATAAAGAAAAGGACTAAAGTTACTTTATCTTTTAATTTTAACTTTATGTAAAGTTTTATCTTTATTCTTTAATTTTTAAAAATAAATTGTTATTCTTCTAACTCTAAATTACTAATAAAAAAATAATATTGAGTTTTTAAATGCTAATAAAACATTACTAAATACTAACATATTCAATTTAATATTCAAAACAATCATGATTGATACAAAAAAGTATCATTTAATACTAGTAATTTTAGGATTAAATGATTAAAAGTATATTTTTTAAAATTAAAAAACCAAACTGAAACTTAACATAAAATTAAAAGATCAAATATATACTTTAGCTAAAGAAAAGCATACTAAGCTCTATGGAAATGGGCCAAAAGTGAATATGGGCTATAGATGAAGTAAATGGTCCGAAAAGCATGATAAAGGGCTTAAAGAACATGGTTTACATGAGGAAAGGTTTATTAACCAAGATTGATTTTAACAGAAAAGATTAGTCTCCCATAATGTAATAGGTTTGAATTTTTGCTGAAAGAATTATCCATACTTAGTGCTCAACAGTACCTCGAATAGGATTACTTTGAATAGGAGTATATTTGTGCTTGCCAAAAAAAAAATATGAGTAAAGATTTATAGGAGAATTGTGTGAAGAATTGTGTGAAGAATTTTGCGAATTGCCTGCTCCTCTCCAACCTTCTCTTTCTCTTGGCCTTCTCGAAGGATTTCTTCTGCTGCTTTCATTTTTCTCACTTTCTTTGGCTATTTTTTGGTCATTTTCTAAGTTGTAATGCACTATGATTGATACACCATAGTAATGTATCAGTGTGACCATCACAGTAGACTTACGCGGGAAGTAGTTTAACCTCTTTTTTTGGAGTAGTTTAAACTCTTACCACCTCCAATCCTAATTATAAGACCATATTTATAGACTAAAAATGAGATCTTATAATTAGGACCGGAAGTAGTATTTATTAAGGTTACAATCTACCATAGTTTCTTTAATGAATAGTAAATAGTAAGTTCAAACTTATTTTCTAGACCAACCACCAGGAGTTGGATCTAGTGGAAGGGGCTAGTCTCTCACAACGTAACGAATCAAGATTCGAATCCCTACTGGAAGAGGTGCCCGTATTTAGTACCCAATAGTAACTAAAAAAACTTATTTTCTATACCTATTTAAGTAAATAAGTATGGACTATTTTAATAAAGATCAACTTATAGACTTACAGACCTGATCTATTTATTTATTTTTTAATGTGCACTATTTTATATAATATATTATAAATAAATTTTTAGATTATCTTTAAAATAACTAATTTAGCTGTAATGCAAAGTTTCATATCTTATCATTTACCATTACAAAAAAATATGTATTTTGTAGCGGTTAAAATAAGACATTTCTAGCGGTTTTAACGGCAACAAATAACATTTGTAGTGGTTACAAAAACCGCTAGAAAATCAAGTGCAAGAAAAAATTTCTAGTGGTTATAGTAACCACTACATAGTATGGTCAAAACGCCAGAAACTTTCTAGTGGTTAATTAACCGCTAGAAAAATCTAGTAGTAGGAGACGAAATTTCTAGCGGATAGAAACCGCTGGAAAAAGCAAAAAAATTAGTAGCGGTTATATAACTGCTAGAAAGTTCTGAACCAAATCAAATTTTGTCGGAAAATTAAATTTTTGAATTGGCGCCAAAACATTTCTAGCGGTTTGAACCGCTAGAAATTTGACGCAAAATTTAAATTTCACAAAATTTGTATCGCTATTTTTTTTATTTCTAGTGGTTCAAAACCGCTAGAAGTGTTTTTCCAAGCACAAAAAAAATTTGTGGTTTTTTATTATTAGAAAACATAATATTATAAATTTAAAAACCATTAAATAGATTATATTGGAGAATTTTTGTTAATTTGTATAATTAGTTATGTATTACTTTTTATATATATTTGAATTTTGTAATAAACAATATCTAATTAAATTATGAGTGTGTCAAAAGAAGTGAATTTAATTTAATAAGATAATTGAATTGAAGATTTAATAAGATAGTTGAATTGAAGATGACATAGTTTAATTAACCGCTAGAAAAATCTAGTAGTAGGAGACGAAATTTCTAGCGGATAGAAACCGCTGGAAAAAGCAAAAAAATTAGTAGCGGTTATATAACTGCTAGAAAGTTCTGAACCAAATCAAATTTTGTCAGAAAATTAAATTTTTGAATTGGCGCCAAAACATTTCTAGCGGTTTGAACCGCTAGAAATTTGACGCAAAATTTAAATTTCACAAAATTTGTATCGCTATTTTTTTTATTTCTAGTGGTTCAAAACCGCTAGAAGTGTTTTTCCAAGCACAAAAAAAATTTGTGGTTTTTTATTATTAGAAAACATAATATTATAAATTTAAAAACCATTAAATAGATTATATTGGAGAATTTTTGTTAATTTGTATAATTAGTTATGTATTACTTTTTATATATATTTGAATTTTGTAATAAACAATATCTAATTAAATTATGAGTGTGTCAAAAGAAGTGAATTTAATTTAATAAGATAATTGAATTGAAGATTTAATAAGATAGTTGAATTGAAGATGACATAGTTTATAATATTGAACCTAAACTGTTATGCTGAGAAGTATTTGAATCAGTTGAGGAGGGTATGACAAGTGTGAAGAAGAAAAATCTGAAAGAAAAAGAGAAATAAATATGTTAGTAAATTATAAGTAAAGACAAATAAAAGATATAAGGACTTATAAAATAAAATTCACTTACCATATAGTGAAAAGAAAGAAACCATAAAGCTGAGGATATCCTCCTCGTTGAGATCGTAGTCATGAATGCTGGGGAATGGCTAATCAGCATCATGACCACCATCACGATGATCCTCACCGGGTCTTGCCCTCTCAGGATCAACTGGCGCCTTCCCTGGCCGACGACTCATTCTAATAACAATAAATAGTAATTATTTATAAATAAAATAAAAAGAGAAATTATTTATAAACAAAAATATAATAAATTAAATAAAAAATAAGAATAAAAATTATTTATAAATAAATTACTATTTCTACCTGAAAATAGGGATCTGCAACTGAATCCGAACTCGGATATATTTCGTGGAGAGAATTCGGCAAAGCTTCGCTTCACGAATGAATGAAACAGTGAAAATGACCGTGGGGGGTATATATAGGCAATGAATTTCTAGCGGTTTTACCCAAACCGCTAGAACTTTCTAGCGGTTGTCGCTAAAATAGCTAGAATTGTCTAACGGTTGGCTGTCGCATTTAAGGCACCTCGGGAAATATACAAATTTTCTAGCGGTTTTTGAGTTAACCGCTAGAAATTTCTAGTGGTTTTGGCGACAACCGCTAGAAACTGCTAATGGTTATTAAAACCACATTGGGAAAATTAAATATTTTCTAGCGGTTTTCAATAAAACCGCTAGAAAAGTGTATGATTTGTGAACAGCTAGAAAATTAGACGACTCTTTGCACTCTCTAGCGGTTTGGTCACCCAAACTACTAGAAAATAAATGTTAGAATTTTGGCACCAAGTTCGCGCCAAAACCCAGAAAGAGTTCTAGCTATGATTTTCTAGTAGTTGTCATATAACCGCTAGAAAATTGCGGGTCTCACAGTCTTTATGGTCAAGCAATGCTAATTTGTAGCGGTTTGTCGTAAAACCGCTAGAAATATATAAATTTGTAGTGGTTTGTTTGAACCGCTAGAAATGTTCCGCTGCTAACTTGCTATTTTCTTGTAGTGTACACATGCTCCACCCTTTAATTTATATTTAATATTTTCATAGGCTTAAAAAGTTGAAGTTATAGTTATAGGATTTTGAACATATTTAAAAGCCCATATTTTAAATAAACATTTAAAAAAGATTTGAAGTAATATCTTTTACAATGCTTAGGGTTAGACTTGAGCCTTAGAAAATGTTATATATAAGCTTAGATTTAGAATCAGGCTTTATATCTTTATGTCAAAACCCATGTCAGTAAAGTAAAGCAAGGCTAATCTAACCTGTTTTCACTTTATAATGCCACAAATATTTTAAATAGTTTAGTTCTAAATATAAGAACTAATTAAAGGGTTTACATTTACCCTAAATAATAATGGTAGGATAGTGTCAATCTATTTTTACCTCTAAAATTTATAATTTTTCTTTAAAAAATACTTAGATCAAGTTTCTTGTATTCATTAAGTTTTCAAATCACATATGGCCATATGTCCTATTTTATTTACTTGGGTTTATAATTAAATAACATTATTTTAAAAATAAGACACATAGTCATGTTTGATTAAAACTTGACACAATAGATATGAACAACTTGATGTAATTATAGTCTTTTTTTGCTTAAACTATTCTTATTGATTACGCATTTAAGGAGGTTTTTATCAAGAGATATTGCTAACACAAATTATTGAAAAATATATTTTAAGAAAATCAACACATATTATTTTTACAAATAATCAACTTAACTAATTTCTTAAATAAAACAGCAAGCAATATCCTAATATTATTTTTTAGTGGCACCTGGCACTTTAATCTTATTTATGATGTATTTAGTATGTACTATAAATAAGATTACTAAATATTAAATGTACCATAAATAAGATTATAATGACAGATGTAATTGAAAAATAATATTAAGATGTTGAATGTGTTATAACTAAAAGAAAGGTATTGGATATAACTTCCAAATAACATTAGAACGGGTGGTACTTTACCATAATTATTTTAATCCAAGCAAATTAATCATTTAGTTTATATGTCAATAACAAAAGATGGTGATAAAATTGTTATTTAAAAAAAAGATAGCGACAAAATTGCTCCTATAAGGGCGGAGGCTTGTGGGTAATTTTGTCATTTTGCATCCATTTCCCGCTAAGCTGACCGTTTCCCTCGACTGACACTTGATGGTCAGATTCTCAGATGAGAGGTATTCCCTGGATCCCATTTTCTCAGACTTCGGCAAATCAAA